GTGTACCCAACTCCAACTCCCTCCGAGCATCTGTGTTGCTTTAACCACTTGCCCTCCAGAGGATTTACCCGCCTTCCTCACTAGGCCTTTTTTGTGATACGGCGCTGTGTTACTTTAACTGACAAATGCAACACTGTACAAAAATGAAATTTATGTCCTCTTTTATCCCACAAATAGAGCTTTCTTTCAGTGGTATTAGATCATCTCTGCATTTTTTATTTTTTGTGCTATAAACAAAAAAAACTACAATTTTGAAAAAAAAACTATATTTTTGACTTTTTGCTATAAAACATATCCAATAAAAAAATTTAAAAAATCAAATTTCGTCATAAATGTAGGCCAAAGTGTATTCTGTGACATGTCTGCTGAAAAAAAAATCCCAATACACGTAAATTAATTGGTTTACATGAAAGTTATAGCATTTACAAATAGCGGTATAGATAATGGATTTTTTTTTTACTATTAATGGCGGCGATCAGTGACTTATAGACGGACTGTGGTGGACATTCTGACACTGGGGGGAATGGACTTGGTGTCACTGACATCCCCAGTGACACCAATACAGTGCTAATAAAGAGCACTGATACTGTACTAATGGCACTGGGCAGGAAAGGGTTAACATGAGGAAAGCGTTTAACTGTGTGCTGGGAGTGTTTTACTAGGGGGCCGTGTCAGTGTGCTTCACTGTAAGCACACTGCTTTGGATGGCTGTGCTGTGCACAGCCATCCAAAGCAGTGTGCCCGAGCTGACAGTAAACAAAACAGTCCTCCTCCCCGTCGGAGATGCTCGGTAATCACCGAGCGCCGCCGACGGGTAATCCCTTTGGATCCCTACCCGGAAATGCAAAATCACGTATGTATACGTGATTTTGCGCACCCCTGCCGCCCTGTGGCAGTATATCTGCTATAGGGCGGCAGTAAAGCGAATAAGTGAGGTGAGGACAGAAAACCTGCCCAAGAGCATAGGACTGCCAACATCAAACTAACGTAAAACGAATAGGGAGAAGATTCTCCACATAGTAGATTGCCTGATTTTTTATCTGGATTGTGGTCTTTGAGGACCCCATGTAACTGTCTAGTTTTTCTCCTCCAACTTCAATGGAGCGATATTAACACTGAATAACAAGTTAGGTATAAGTAGTTAGCAGGCAGTTTCCTGCCCCAAAATAACTATTTCTGGTGGACTAGCTCACCAAAAATTATTAAAAGGCTTAAAAAAAAGACAAATTTAAAAATTATATATGCAAAACAGCATAGAGCAAAATGGATAATGCTTCTTCACATAGCAACAAATGAGAGATTATGAGATGTTCTGAAATCACTACAGATGAAATGTTTGGTTCCTATAGGTGACTGCACATTGAACACCATGATTGTTCTATGCGGCTCTTAATTAATGAAGCTTTTGCTTGTTATTTGCCTGGTGATAGTGATCTCTGGATTCCTGCGATATTCTCTTCCATGAATCATTCTCTATCCTCTCTCCCTACCTGCTCTCCCTGTCTCCACTGCTGTCTGAACACACTTCCTCCCTCAACGCCTCCTCTCTTTCTTACAGTTTTCTTCTCATCCACGGGGAAACTGGATTTTCCACCTAATCCTATTACCCCCTGTGATTCCACAGAGTATCATTAAAAGCGCTCAGCACATCAGGGGAGCACAGGGGGCAAATCTGTCAGTGGGAACATAAGAAGCCAGGGAATAGGAAGGAGAAAGGGACGCTGAACTACCTGTAGAGGTGTAAACGGTAAATAAAAAAGGCAAAGAAGAAAGAAATGGCGTGGGGATTGATTTGGAGAAATAAAAGCAGCTGGGGTAGAAGGATTTGTTTGCAAAGCGAAATATAGATAGTCAGATTTGCTCTTATTAGAATCCCCATCACAAGTCTTTTGCTCTTAGGCTCTGGCTATTGTTTGCAAGTGAGTTACTGCCCCTGGGGGGGGCTATTAATGGCATGATCTGATTCTCACACAGAGAACAGCAGCGGTACCCGTCAACTCAGCCTCTCAGCCAGAAGCAACCACACAGCTGCATGTCAGCTGCAAACTGTGCAGAGGTGGGAGGGAGAAGAGAAAATGTATGCAAGCAAGAAAGAGAGAGAGAGAAAGAAAAGCAACATGTTAGAGAGAGATAGAGACGCGGCATCTGGTTTATGAGATATTAAAGGGTCAAACCTGGGAAAATGATTTCCATCTTTAACATCCCTGTGGGTGTTATATTTAAAGGATGGCAATACTTTGAAAATGATGGTCTGCAAAGGACCTCCTGTGCCTCCCCGGGCCAAAAAATTAAAACGCAATAAAGACAAAGATCATGGATTTCCTGCTGAAGCAACCTAGGCACTGCAGGGCATTATTGACCGTATCTGCCAGGGCGATAATGCGTGCAACTGTGTGATATGACAGTGCTGCAACAGAAATCAATCTAGACCCGCAGTAGATGGGTCTTCCATTGGTAGCTATTGCGGTGTATGTGCTTGGAGGGGTGCAGACTCATTATAGCCAAGGCAATAAACAATATCCAGCAGCGAGTAGGCCAATGCTGCAGCAACCCAGTAAAGCCACAATCTGAAGCCTATATTGCTATTTAATATTTATTATCTTGCTTAGGGAGGCATGAGGTGCCTTTGGTGGCCACTATTTTAAAAGTATACTTGGTTTTCAAATATAAATATCAAGGGTAGGCAAGCGCTGGAAGTATAAAGCAGCTAGCACTAAGGTATAGGTAACAACTCCTAATGGATAAATATATTGAAAGTGCAGCGCTAAAATAAGTGAATGATATTATAGTGAAAATAAAGTGCAAAGTCAATATGACATATAGCAAAAAAAAATTGATCAGTGGAACAGTCAAGTGCAGCATATAAAAATCAAATATAAAAAATGATCAATAATCAAATATATGAAACAGTAAAGTGCACTATAAAAATGAGAATTTATGAAGTCCATAAAATATCAGTGGAGTAAGAGCTATAAATTGTCCGTAAGGATATAAGTACGGCAATCACGGTGAAATATTGTGAAGTGAACCAATAGGGAATCCACCACCTCTGTCAGATGTACACTCATCAGACATCTACTGGTAAACAGCATGTAAGCACATCTCATCTGGGTACAGGTAATGACAATGAAGCCTCTGCAAGAGATGCTGAGCCAAAGGCAAAAAACACAGGTGGACCCTCTCCAAGATGGCCGCCATTCTGACCTTCGGCAACAGCAGCTTGACGTCAGCAAGTGCGGCTCCAACCAACGCATTTCATGCACGCTCACTCTTGGTTTTCAGTATGCTCCACTTAAACATCTGCTGGTTTCACAGCCAAGGAGATTTCTTAGGTAAGTGGGAGGAGGGAGCGCTAAGGCACATCTACCCTGTGTGAGTTTTGGGATGGACCATCAGCAGTGGAGGTTAGTAGAAGGTCCATGTGGAGGTGGTGTCCAAGTCCATCTGAGATTTCTTAGGCAATAGATATTTTTATTTCTTATTTTAAGTTATAGACCAAAAACAAGGACATAGATGACGGGAGGATATGTATACCCAACTCCAACTCCCCCCCCCAAAGCATCTGTGTTGCTTTAACCACTTCCAGACCGGACACTTTTACCCCCTTCCTGACCAGGGCAATTTTCAGATTTTAGCGCTATCACACTTTGAATGACAATTGCGCGGTCATGCAACACTGTACCCAAATGAATTTTTTACCATTTTTTTTAGATAGATAAAGCTTTATTTTGGTGGTATTTATTCACCACTGGGATTTGTATTTTTTTTGCTATGTAAATGAAATGCCCAAAAATTTTTTAAAAAAGTGTTTTTTTAAAAAAATTTTGCAAATAAATAATATTTCATCATAAATCTTAGCCAAAATTTATTCCGTTATCTTTTTAGTAAAAAAAAAAAAAATCCAAATTAGTTTATAAGCAAAAATTATAATTTTTAAACATTTTTTTTACATTTTTATTTTATTTTTTTATATTATTATTTTTTATTTATTTATTTTTTTTTTACATACTGTCACCCTAGCAGTACAGTGTCACCATGGTGACACTGTACTACTTGTGAGGGGTGCTAAAGATTTTTTTTTTTTTTTTTACACTGATTGCTTTTACACCCATATAGGATGTAAAAGCAATCATTCTCTTTCTCTCTGTGTGCATTCCTGCACTCATTGAGAAATACAGAGTGAGCTGTGATTGGTCACAGCTTGTCACATGGTACAAGGCTTTTGTGAATAGCCTTGTACCATGTGACCTCTGTGATCATTCACAGATTTCACACATAGTAAGCAATGATGTCAGAAGTGACATCTTGCTTACTACTTTGCATGTGATCACTGATTGGCCAATCAGTGATCACATGATCGGGACCTCGTACAGAGGTCCCGTCTGACGATCGGTGTTTCACTGTGTCCGGAGGACACAGCGGGCACCGGATCGCGGTGCTGCGCGCTCCCAGGGAGCGCGCACAAGCAGGGTGCGGGGAGGCCGTTTATAGACGGCCACCCGACCCTGCAGTGCCACCGTCCGGCCGTTTATATACAACGGCCGGTCGGGAAGTGGTTAACCACGTGCCCTCCAGAGGATTTACCCCCCTTCCTGACCAGGCCATTTTTTGTGATACGGCGCTACGCTATTTTAACTGACAATTACAACGCTGTATAAAAATGAAATTTATGTCCCTTTTTTCCCACAAATAGAGCTTTCTTTTTGGTGGTATTTGGTCACCTGTGCATTTTTTATTTTTTGTGCTACAAACAAAAAAGACCATCAATTTTGAAAAAAAACCCCAATATTTTTGACTTTTTGCTATAAAAACATATCCAGTAAAAAAAATGTAAAAATCAAATGTTGGCATGAATTTAAGACAAAATGTATTCTGCTACTTGTTAATTGGTTTATGTGAAAATTATAGCGTCTACAAATGGCGGTATATACAGTATACTGGAATTATTATTTTTTTTTTTATGCTAGTAATGGCGGCTATCAGCAACTTATAGCAGGACTATGGGACTGCGGTGGGTATTCCGACACTGGGGGGAGGGAAAGGACTAACTGCCACTGACATCCCAATGACACTAATTCACTGATCAGTGCTAATAAAAAGCACTGACATTGTACTAATGACACTGGGCAGGAAGGGGTTAACATTTGGGGAGATCAAAGGGTTAATTGTGTGCTGTTTTACATTAGTGCCCTCTGTGTTTTACTAGGGAAACATGCTGCTGTGTATTTCTCTGCTGTGAAATACACAGCAGCATGTTACTGCTGGTAGGAGAGAGACCTGTGTTGTTTACACACAAGTCTCTCCCGTCAGTGATATTCGGCGATCGCAGGGTGCTGGGGGGGAATCTCCGGCTGGAACCCAGTGATTGACATCTGTAGCCGCCAACGGTGGTGCGGGTAGGGCAGCACATGCGTGTGCCCCCTACCCGGAAATGCAAAATCACGTTTATATACATGATTTTGCGCAGCCCTGCTGCCCTGTACCAGTACTTCTGCTACAGGCCGGTCTGGAAGCGGTTAACTAGCACTGAAACTGGGTGCGCACCTGAATCACTGCAGCCACTGCTCCTGCCACCCCTCAGGACTCAGAGACAGGCCATGGCAGTTCAGAGAGATCAGCTTTCTTTATCTCCTCCTTGTTCCAGTCACATGACACAGCCAAGGGAGGACCTCCCCTCACTGAGTTCATTCTAAGCTGCCTGGTCTAATGATTGGGTTTCTGGGGTACTGGGGTGGGAGATCTGTAATTGGGGGAGCAGTACTGGGGAGGGGATCTGTACTGGGGGGGGGATTTTTACTAGTGAGAGGGGGGATTTTGACTTGGCAGGGGGTACTTTTTATTATCTGGCTATTTAACTCTTTGCTATGCACTCCTGTGCTCTGTGCATTACGAATTATTGACCCATGTTAGGCTCTTGTTTGTGGCACAGTAAATAAATAACATATTTTTGGTAAGGTAAAATGGTTCCTTACGTCAAAGGTTCAAGTGAGATGGAGAGCTGAGACTACATCAGGGAACACCTGCAGGGAGAAGTATGGAATGCAGAGGACAGAGGTATTGCATACCTTATGAATAATCCTAATATAAGTGAGGTGAGAGATTGTGGACCATTTCTCAAAGAGAACAGACCATTGCAACCGACTGAAGGTGGGCTCACATTAAGGGCCAAGTATACCTGCTAAGAAAGGAGTTTAACTACTTGCCCGGGCTGGACTTTCCTCATTGCAGTTGGCCATCATATGGCCTCACTGCATGCACGGTCTGTCACCAGTTGTGTCCACCGGACACAGTAGATGACTGATCACTGTACTGGCACACTGCCGGTACCATATGATCATTATAAACAATGAATTGCTTTGATTTATGCCATTCATTGTGTACAATTGTGTTGCTAGCTGTGATCAGTGTCATAATTGTGATGATTATGGCTTACAGCTCATGAAAACCCCAAATCCACAATCTCAGAACATTAGAATATTGTGAAAAGATGCAATATTCTAGGCTCACAGTGTCCCACTCTAATCAGCTAATTAAGCCATAACACCTGCAAACGGTTCCTGAGCCTTTAAATGGTCTCTCAGTCTGGTTCAGTAGGAATCACAATCATGGGAAAGACTGCTGACCTGACAGTTGTGCAGAAAACCATCACTGACACCCTCCATAAGGAGGGAAAGCCTCAAAAGGTAATTGCAAAAGAAGTTGGATGCTCCCAAAGTGCTGTATCAAAGCACATTTATTTATTTATTTCAGGTACTCAATTTACGCAGCGCTTTACATATATATTGTACATTCACATCAGTCACTAACTCTCAAGTGGCATACAATCTAAGGTCCCTAACTCACATTCATACATACACATACTAGGGCCAATTTAGACAGGATCCAATTAACCTACCAGCATGTCTTTGGACTTATGCATCTCATTTGGAAACCAAGGACCCAGAGTATGGAGGAAGAATGGAGAGGCACACACTGCAAGATGCTTGAAGTCCAGTGTGACGTTTCCACAGTCTGTGTTAATTTGGGGAGCCATGTCATCTGCTGGTGTTGGTCCACTGTGCTTCATTAAGTCCAGGGTCAATGCAGCCGTCTACCAGGAGATTTTGGAGCACTTCATGCTTCCTTATGGGGATGCTGATTTCATTTTCCAGCAGGACTTGGCACCTGCCCACACTGCCAAAAGCACCAAAACCTGCTTCAATGACCGTGGGATTACTGTGCTTGATTGGCCAGCACACTCGCCTGACCTAAACCCCATAGAGAATCTATGGGGCATTGCCAAGAGAAAGATGAGAGACATGAGACCGAACAATGCAGAAGAGCTGAAGGCCACTATTGAAGCATCCTGGTCTTCCATAACACCTCAGCAGTGCCACAGGCTGATAGCTTCCATGCCACGCCGCATTGAGGCAGTAATTGCTGCAAAAGGGGTCCAAACCAAGTACTGAGTACATATGCATGCTTATATTTTCAGAGGTCCGATATTGTTCTTTGTACAATCCTTGTTTTATTGATTGCATGTAATATTCTAATTTTCTGAGATTGTAGATTTGGGGTTTTCATGAGCTGTAAGCCATAATCATCACAATTATGACAAATCACGGCTTGAACTATCTAGCTTTGCATGTAATGAGTCTATCTCATATATTAGTTTCACCTTTTAAGCTGAAATAAATGAACTTTTGTAAGATATTCTAATTTTTCGAGTTTCACCGGTATACCAAAGTTTGTGTACTTTCTAACAGACTAAATAATAAACACTGATTTGGGTTATTTTCACCAAAGAAATGGAGCAGAATACATTCTGGCCTAACTGTATGAAGAACAATTATTTATCTGCAAATTGTATAACATAAACAACATCAGTTTTTTTTCAACATTTTTAGTCTTTTATTAATTATTTAGCAAAAAGATAAAAAAAGCTAGTGGTGATTAAATACCACCAAAAGAAAGCTCTATTTGTGTGAAAAAATTTCATTTGGGCATGACCAGGCAATTGTCATTCAAAATGCGACAGAGCTGAAAGCTGAAAATTGGCCTGAGCAGGAAGGGGGTGAAAGTGTAGCAGTTATCATTTATGGTGGGCAAATATCAGACTGGGACTCTGAAGTTACCTACAGCAATATCTGTAAATAGATGAAAGTGTGAAGGGAAAACTCTCAGGAGGCAGAGATCACCAGAACTGTGCTAAAAATCATAAAACCTGGAACTTTAATTTTTTACGCTCACACCTTCAGGATAAAAGCCGCACTGATCTGTTTCAGGAAATGATGAATACAAAGCAGCAGGATAAGGAAACTCCTCAGCAGTACTGTGGCCATCTCAACAAATGAGTTCTGCTATTGTTTCTGATAAGAACCTGATACAAGGAGTATTTCTTCACACATTATACCAGGGGTTAAGTGAAACATATAGTGATATTCAAAAGTATATCAAACCATGCATTTCAACTTATCAGTAAGGCTAGGTTCACATCTGTGCGGGTGGTGCGGCTGCGAATCCGCTCAAAAATCTGTGCACCAGCACCACCTGCACAGAGGAATGCGGACCAATGGGTGGGTGCCATTAGTTCTAATAGCACGCCGCCCGCACTGGAAAACGCAACCGTACTGGGAACCAAGGTTTCCGTGCGGGCTGCGTTTTCAGAAGACGTGCAGGGACTTCTCTGCATGTCACGGGGCATGGGAGTCCATTCAAATGAATGGGCTCTCATGCCCATGCAAAACGTGGCCCGCACGGCTGCTTGTATGTGAACCAGGGCTAACTGATGATTCCATTCTAGAGAAAATTACTAAAGCAGCCCAAGTAGAAGCAGATAGCAGGCATGTGCAGAATGGAAAAATTTGTTTTGGATTAGCTCATTATGTTACTAACTTCTTTTCGTAGATCCGTTTTGTAATTTGAAAATGTATCAACCAATCTGAAATCTGTGTAAAAAATAGTTGGTTGTTAACTACTTTCCAACCGCAGATAGCCAAATGACAGCTACACTGCGGCCGGCAAGTTCTGGGAGGGCGTCATATGACGTCCTCCCAGAACGTGCTCTCCTGCGCACCCCGGGGGCATGCACCCGGCGGTCTCTGTGATCGCTGTGTCCTACGGACACAACTGATCACGTGATGTGGTAAAAGGCCAATCACAGCAGCCTTTTACTACGTGATCAGCCGTGTCCAATAACACGCTGATCACCGGGAAATGCAATTGCCAGTTCTCGCCTGCACTTTCCTCACACTGTCAGAGCGTGAGTAAAGTATTGCCGAGAACCGACAGTTGTCAGAGCAGGGATCGGCACCGATCATCAGGGCACTGATGATTAGTGCCCTGATGATCAGTGCCCAGCAGCGCCACCCACCAGTTCCGCCCACCTGTGCCCAGCAGTGCCGCCCACTAGCTCCGCCCACCTGTACCCAGCAGTGCACCCACCTGTGCCCAGCAGTGCCCACCAGTGCCACCCAGCAGTGCCACCTACCTGTGCCCAGCAGTGCCACCTACCTGTGCCCAGCAGTGCCACCCACCTGTGCCCACCAGTGTTACCCACCTGTGCCCACCAGTGCCACCCACCAGTGCCCATCAATGCAGACAAGCAGTGCTGCCACCATTCAGTGCCCAGCGGTTGTGCTAGTCAGTGCCCAGGAGTTGCGCCAGTCAATGCCTAGCAGTGCCGCCAGTCAGTGCCCAGCAGTGATGCTAGTCAGTGCCACCTATCAGTGCTGTCTATCAGTACCCATCATCAGTGCTGCCTATCAGTGCAGCCTATCCATGACACCTCATTAGTGCTGCCTATCAGTGCCGCCTATCCGTACCACCCCATTAGTGCTGCCTATCAGTGCCGCCTATCAGTGCCCTTCAGTGCCGCCTATCAGTGCCCATCAGTGCCGCCTATCAGTGCCCATCAGTGCCGCCTAGTGCCCATCAGTGCTGCCTCATCAACGCACAACAGTGAAGTAGAAAAATTACCTGTTTGAAAAATTTTATAATAGAAACAAAGAAACTTTTTTTGAAATTTTTTTGCACACTTTTTGTTTATAGCGCAAAAGGTAAAGCGCCCAACGGTGATTAAATACCACCAAAAGAAAGCTCTATTTGTGAGAAAAAAATTATAAAAATTTTATATGGGTACAGTCTTGCATGACCGTACAATTGTCAATCAAAGTGCGACAGCACTGAAAGCTGAAAATTGGCCTGGTAAAGAAGGGGATATAAGTGCCCTGTAGGCAAGTGGTTAAGGAGAGGGCCAGGAAGCCGGATGTCATATCCTTAACAGCTGATGACTTATCAACTGTCAGTGGATTTCCCCACTGACAGCTGAATGTAAACAAAAGAATGCTGGCAATGAAAAATAAATGAAAAAAAAAAGCGTGCCCCCCATCCATACCAGGCCCTTCAGGTCTGGTATTGATTATAAGGGGAATCCCACATCAAAATCTCTTAAAAAAAAATCAGTGTGGGCCCCCCTCCCCCCAAAATCTATACAGACCCTTAAAGTAAAAACACAACAACAGTTTTTGACATGTCCTCTATTAAAAGCAAAAAAAAACCCACCAAAAATAAATGTCCCCCAAAGTAGATGTAGCGTCAATCATGATGAACGCTAACCACTGACCCGAAACATTGAGGGACATTTATTTTTTGGAGGGGAGGGGGTTCTGTTTTTTTAACCGCCTCCCGTCCGCCATATAGTACAATGACGGGCACAAGGCGGTTCTCTCGTTCTGGGAGGACGTCATATGACGTCCTCCCATTCTAACCGCGCATGCGCAGCTCCGGGAGCGTGCAGAGCGGCAATCAGCGGTGCGCTGTGTCCCTCGGACACAGCGGATCACCGATCAATGGAAAGAGACAAAGATGTTGGCTCGGTCATGTGATCAGCTGTGTCCAATCACAGCTGATCGCATATAAGTAGGGAGATGCCGGTTATCGGCATTTTTCTCTCCTAACGAGCTGTCACACTGACAGCTCTAGAGGAGAGGAGAGCCGGTAATCGGCAACCCTCAGAGGGGACATGTACACTGATCATCAGGGCTCTGATGATCAGTGTGCCCTGATGATCTGTGTAGCCCCAGCAGTGCCACCTGTCAGTGTCCATCAGTGCCAGCTGTCAGTGCTCATCCATACCACCTGCCAGTGCCCATCAGTGTCACATCAATGCCACATTTCAGTGCCTACCAGTGCACATCAATGCCACATATCAGTGCCCATCTGAGCTGCCTTTCAGTGTCACCCATCAGTGCCAGTCAGTGCCACCTATCAATTGCAGTCAGTGCCACCTATCAATGCTGCCAATCAGTGCCACCTATCAGTGCCAGTCAGTGCCGCCTATCAGTGTGTATCAGTGCCGCCTATCAGTGCCCGTCAGTGCTGCCTATCAGTGCCGCCTAACAGTGCCAGTCGGTGCCACCTAACAGTGTCAGTCAGTGCCGCCTATCAGTACCACCTATCAGTGCTGTCTTTCAGTGACCATCAGTGATGCCTGTCAATGCCCATCAGTGCCACCCACTAGTGCCTCCTCATCAGTGCTCATCAGTGCCACCTATCAGTGTCCATCAGTGCAGCCTATCAGTGCCCATCACTGCAGCCTCATTAGCGCACATCAGTGAAGGAGAAAAAAAATTTATTTACAAAATTTTATAACAAAAACTAAGAAAAAACGTTTTTTTTTCTCAAAATTTTCAGTGGTTTTTGGTTTGTTTAAGAAAAAATAAAAAAACCCAGAGGTAATTAAATACACCAAAATAAAGTTCTATCTGTCACAAAAAATATAGATAAAAATGTCATATGGGTACAGTGTTGCATGATCGCGCAATTGTCATTCAAAGTGTGACAGCGCTGAAAGCTGGAAATTGGCCTGGGCAGGAAAGGGGTATAAGTGCCCTGTAGGCTAGTGTTAAAAAGGACTTGTCATAAACTGTTGTATTTTTACTTACTTTTTACACTTTTTTTGGGAATGAGTAGGGGTACTATGTACCTTATACTCATTCACATAGGGGGGGAGGGACCTGGGGGACACCTTGTTAAAGGGGGCTTCCAGATCTTGATGAGCCCCCCACCCACAAACCCCCACAGCTACAGCCCAGGGTTGTGGAGAAGATGCCCTTGTCCCCATCAACATGTGGACAAGGTTTTGGGGGGGTAGCCCCCCTGTCCCAACGCACCACCCAAATTCATGTGGCTTGGTATGGTTCAGGGGGGGGATGCTCTCTTGCCCACCCCCCTTTTTTGACCTAGGGGGCTGCATGTAATAAGGGTCTGGTATGGATTTTGAGGGGGACCCCATGCCATTTTTATGTTTATATTTTGGTGTCGAGTCCCCTTACAATCCATTCCAGGGAATCATTCTAAAAATTTGGAATTTGCTAGAAATGAATAAACTAAACTAAATTAATTTCAACAAAATTTGTTAGTATTGCTATTAAAGAACTTGGATACATCCGAATCTCCGAATAACCAAAAATGTTGTAATTGATTTGATTTGAATTTCACATATCTAACAGAGAAGCAAGTCAAACTGAGTGGCATGACAAATATCACACAGGCACGGGAAACAGAAGAGGTCATGGACTATGGCAATAATATTCATACTTCACTTGCAGAATTAACTGCACAAGTTGCTACCCTTGCAAAAAAAATGTACAATCTTTACTGCAGGCAAGTTTAATGAGAAAGTCTGGAGATGATCCAGCAACATTGTCAGATAATAATAATAAAAGCAAAAAATGCAGAGATGTAAACAATGTGTGAGCCAAGGAAAAGAAAAATGTAGGCATTGCTTTAACTGGGTACAGGAAAGTCATATGGTGCATAAAAAGAGAAAAGCTGCTGCGAAACAAGAAGTGGTCACAGGTGCAGGACAACCAGTGACCAGCTATGATAAAAGGTCCAAAGTCACTGCAGAACCTAGAGAAATCCTTCACTCACCTTGCCGCTGTGGGTCAAAAAAGTAGCCAGACAAACTGGGAGCAAATGCTTACTCACTTATCATTTAGGAGGGGTACCCACAAAAGTACTCATTGGCACGGGTTCCCAAGTAAGTATTGGTTAAGCTGGGTTAATCAACACCAAAAACAAACTGCAATTCAGCCAATTGACAAACTGTTAGGAAAAGACAGCAAGCTAACAATCGCAGCAGCAAATGGTTCTGTTTTTCCTTGATGAGTGGGTGGAATCAGAACAAAAAACTGAAAATCAAAGTGGAAATAGGATAACAATCCTTATCCCATTGCTAGTTAGCCAGACTTGCTCTGCCAGGCTTTAATGCAATCGAAGAAATGATAAAAGAGCATTCTGACAGTTCAAACTCTGGTAAAAATGACATGACAATGCTATTGAGTGAAACAATGTGTTTAAAAAAATGTAAAGAAAATGCTTTAGCAGGCCTTGTGTTGTCTTCTACAACTAAGAATAATGAGTTGGAACAAAATATATACAAAACCATCAAACTCCATAAAGGGAGAACAGTGCTCTTTGAGCCATTACTACCCAGTCAGCTGCCTGAAGGCCTAGAAACTTTTCCAGCACTTGTGGATTTACAAATTAGGCATAGAAAGTGAATAAAGATTCCTGTATGATCTACCCAGTTTTAGAAGAAATCTCATAGGATGAAATGAAAACTACAAATCAGGTAGAAAAAAAGGAAAGAACAGATGGATCACTGTCAATGCAAACAAACTCCCAAGTCATACAAAGCCAAAAGTCAAAGCCACCAGTGGATTTACAGCATCTCACTGAAGAACAACAGATAATTGTTAGAACAATATTATATGAAGAAAATCTTTGCAAAAGAGGAGGGGGAAATTGGATGTATTCCTAATTTAAATCTTTACATAAACTTGATGGATAAGACATCAGTGTAAAATTCTTATAACTCCATACAAAAACCCCTGTACCAGGGGTAAAGGACTACATACAGAAACTGTTGCAAAGGGGATGGATACTGTTCTGCCTCCAGCAGGGAAATTCATTATGCAAATTTAAACTTTACCACTAGATGAAGCGTGCAATAAATCTACTGTTTTACAGAAACTAGAGAATGTTAAGATAAGAGCTAAGAGTTAATGAAAATTCCCGTCAATTTCAGAAAAAGAAGCAGGTGTATCTTGGGAACGCAAACTTCATCTTAGAAACTGACAGAAAAGGAACAAGCTATAATTTTCTGCAACATATGTTCAGGACTATGACCCCTCTTTTAAGTCTATACAAACAACTCAATAACATATATTCTCATGTCCAGCAAGACTAAACAGTGTTGGACACCACTGGTAGGGGAATTAGCTGATTTCTGCTTTGACATCAAATATTGCCAAGGTAAAAAAAAATGCAGATGCTGATACCTTGTCTAGAAATCCACTATACAGTCTTCAGGATGAAGAAGAGTTTACAAATCTGACCACGCCACAGACTATTTCTGCTGTATGGAAAGGTGGAAGGAGAGTGGTAGATGAGGAAGGTTCCTGGGCACTTTCACTAGTTCTACAACCAGAAGTTACAGATGCAAATGGTCTATGGAAACCTGAAATTCAGGAAATCATTTGTGCTGCCCAGCTGCAGGACAAGGCCATATGTGCTATCATTGACCTTAAAGCGGAGTTCCACTCATGCTGTCAAAAAATAAATGTCAGCAGCTACAAAAACTGTAGCTGCTGACTTTTAAAAGACAGCCACTTACCTGTCCCTCGGTCCCGCGGTGTGTCCCTTGCAGCCCGTTTCACCGGCCATCCTGTATTCCAGGAGGCCGGCATCTTCAGTGTGGGCACCCAGCTGTGATAGCTTGCGGCTTCACAGTCGTGTACCCACTGCACATGCATGAATGGTCTTGTAGTCTTCTGGGACCTGTCACTTGTCCCAAAAGACTACAGGGAGGGAGAGAGGACACCTTCCGCTTCCAATCGCCTAGGTGATCAGACCAGAAGTGGGAGCGGGTACATGTCCCGCTCCTCCCCCCGCCCCCCAAAGGTGCCAATCCTTACTGGGGAGTGGGGGAGCAGTCCTTAAAGCGGTACTTCCCCTTTTGGGTGGTGCTCTGCTTTAAGAATAAAAAAAAAACTGAACTCACCAAGTCAACAAAACGTGCCTAGATAGAAAAGGAAAACAACTAATGCTTGACTGCAATAAGGTGACTGTACAAGATGGCATTTTGTTATGACACAACAAAATGGTTATTCCAGAACAGTTAATTCAGATAGTGCTGAAACATCTACATAATGGGCCATTGTGGAGCAAACAAAGTAATCCAGCTTGCAAAAGAAAGATTTTACTGGCCATTCATGCAAAAGCAGATGAGATGTAGTTGTCTGAAACGGAAACACGCAACAATGCCTTTAGGGTGCATTTAGTGCTCCTTTTGAACTTGTCTCAGTTGACTTTCTTCACCTAGAGAAGAGCAGAGGTGGTTATGAATACATATTGGTTATCATTGATGACTTCACTTGCTTTGCACAGGCCTACCCTATATGCAACAAATCAGGGAAAACTGCAGCAGAGAAGATTTTCAATTACTTCATCACCAGATTTGGATATCTAGAAAAAATATCCCATGATCAGGACAGAAGTTTTGAAAACCATCTTTTCAAAAGATTGAGACAATTATCTGAAATAACAGATTCTAAAACAAAGCCATTTCATCCTCAAAGCAACCACATTGAAAGATTGATTACAACATTATTTCCAACGATTTCTACATTAGAAGAGGAAAGAAAGCGTAGTGGAAATAGTATTTACCTCAAATAGTCCATGCATATAATTGTACTAGACATGAAGAAAAACCGGCTATGCCCCTTTCTTTCTGTTGTATGGAAGAACACCCCATTTACCAGTAGATCTGTTATTTGATATGGATGATGAAAAGGAGGAAAGATCACCCCAGCAGTATGCTGAAAAATGAAAAAAGCTTACAGGATAGCCAAAATTCCTCTCAAAGGTAAAAGGTACTAGAACCAAAGTGCAAAAGGAGTGGCACTACAGGCTGAAAACTGTGTTCTTGTAAGACATTTGTCAGAAAGGGGAGGCCAAGGAAAACTTTGAACATACTGGGATAAGGAAGTGTACGAGGTAGTTGAACAGATAGGGAAAGGGCATATCTACAAAAGTGAAACCAGAAAAAGGTAACAAACTAGTAAGGGTGATTCATTGCAACTTGCTACTCCCAGTCAGTGATTTGCTTTATAGATTTTACACCAGATAAAACAAAGAAAAATGCCACTAGGACAGTGACAAGAGTTAAAGAAAACACTAGCCCAGAGATCTCAGATTCAGATACCTCAGACAATGAATACTATGTGTATTCTCCCATACTCTTCCAGGACACTAAACAACACATAGCTCCCCAATTACGTCCTGAGGCTGAGGAATTGTATCCTAGTGACTCTCACTTTTCGCAAGTCAAGAAATGCCAGATGAAGTAGTTTTTGGAGCCACCCACAGATGTTGAGGAAGAAAGCATTCAATAATTACTTCAACAGGAGCTAAAATTACAACCGGAGGATGAGACAGCAGCACAAACAACCGGTGAACCAGTGAGAGAAGGAAACCTGTTCTCTGAACAAAGATATTTTCTAAGAATACGTAAACGAAAGGAGATATTAACATATGAGACAATTG